AATTAGCAAGAGGGGAAGGTATGCGCATCTGCGCAAAGGAAGGTATGCACATGTGTACAGGGAAAACAACATTTTGGCAGCTTGCTGACACTCCCACACGCTCGACACACGATGTCTTTTGACCAACAGCGCTCACGAGGATGGTTCCTGCCACAACCAGCGCACGCTGGGCTGGCTGCAGGCTTCACTCAGGTCCGCTTGTCAGCTCCTGCCTTGACTTCGTACATGTCCTCGTCGACGTCTCCACTCTCGTTGCCGGAACTGGTGGTGTACATGCTGCTCTGTCGACGCCAACCGCTGGTGTACCTCTCTGGTTGACTTATCAGCTGCCTCTGCGGTGATGGCCTCAGAGCAGGCGACAGCCCAAGTCAGGGTGGTGTGGGGGAACAACTGGTGTTGCAACCGTTCGTCCCTCATCCCGCACACCAGTCAGTTTCGGAGGGCCTCTTTGATGTTAGTGAAGTTGCAGAGCCTCGCAGACTTGCGCAACGCCGCTATGTACTCGGCCACTGGCTCGTTAGCTGCTTGACTTCTTTTATAGAAGGCATGCCGACAGGTGATTTCTGACGGCTGAGGAGAGAAGTGCGCTTTCAACTTCTCTCTCAGATCTTTGAACGAGACCGTCTCGATGTCCACTGGTGCTACCAGCGACCGGGCAATGTCAACACCGCTCTTGCCGCAAGAGCTCAGAAGGGTTGCCTGCTTCTTCTCTTCGGTTGCGATGTCGTTTGCCTCAAGGTGGAAGTCGAACCTCGTCAGGTAAGCGTCCCAGTCCTCGGTGGTGGGTTCGAATGCCTCGAACTTCTGGTTATTGGCCATCCTTGCAGGCGGTTCCTCCAGATCTGGCGGTGCCTGCTGCTGATCGGCCACAGCGCGATGCTTGTTTAGCGGGGCTGCCTACCCACACTAATATCCCATCCCTGTTAAGTTTCTTGCTTAACAAGGCAGTTGGAGAGTGATTCAGCAAGAACACAACTTTATTCTTCCACTGGAACACAACTTTATCCAACAGGGGTCAACACCAGATAGCCAGAACAGCCTTTACATTGCCGCTTAAAAATTCCCGGCTAATGTAGCCACACCCACTGTACAAATACCAACCAATAAGGTTGTTCACATAAGGACCAATCACGGATGTTCCCGCGTGATTGGTTAGGTGCTTCCTGGGCTAGTAACAGGATTGGGTGGATCTGGATCCTAGCCCAGGAGGAAGCTTTACATTGCACTTCAGTTAGAGGTTTCAGGCCCTATCCTGCATTCAAGGCAGCTTTGGGAGGGAGGAGGGGGCTCCCGAGCAGGCTAACGGAGGGAGGCAGCAGCCCCACAGCCAGCGCAGAGGGAAGCCTTGCCTGGGAGCTCTGGCAGCACTGTGGCTCGCCCGAGGCCGTCCAGCCGGGTGCCAGCGGAGGAGGCGGCGGCGGCGGCGGCGGGGGGGGGGGGCCCGAGGGGCGCA